TTATTATAAAATTATGCCAAAAAATATGTTTTCAACTCCTAAAAAATAGGGGATGCTACCTTTACTCTTCAAATCAACATGAAATACTTGCTCCTTTTGTAAGAAATAACCTCCAATTTGTTTCACTGAAAAATATTAATTTTAAGCCGGGATATTAAAAAAAACGCTTTTTAGGGGTTAACTTTAGCGGAGGTTTTTACCCCTTAAAAGTGAAAATTAAGGTTTGGGTACCTTTCCTTGTAAGTGGCGTATGTAAAATAACGCAACTTGTATTGAGAATAAAAGACTTTTGGATATACATAAATGCAAGGATTAAGCATAATCGTACTTTGAAAATTAAAAAGTTCACAACTGAGCGGAGATCCAGAATTCAACAAACTCTTTCTAATTTTATAATCATTATTATTACAAATATTTTATTTTTAAGGAGTCACGGTGGTAAATGTTCTCATAATGAGAGCAGAAAATGATATGTGGTCCTTGTGTTAGAAAAATTGTATTTGGTAAAGTTAAGCCTGAAAAATTTCTGATGAATGGTAAAATGGCAAATCTGATAAAAAAGTATGTGTCGAAAGATTTTGATTTCAATAATGAAAAATATCCTTTAAGTATCTATAAGTCATGCTATCTAACAATTCTTGATTTTGAAAAAGAAATTTACAACAGGCAAATACAAATTATGCTTGATTATAACAATGTAGTATAACCAAAAGAGACACGTTCTACAGGAGACACATGCAACTGTTTTATATGTTCTACTGCTACTTCTTTTGGCTACGTAAATGTAAAAAAAGGTCAAGGAAATTTCAAAGAATTGCGAGAACTAACATAGATGTTTCAGGTCAATGTAAAAAAGTTATGGAAAAAAAAGAAGTTGCTAACCGATTATAAAACAATAAAAGGAATTTAGATGTTATTAAGCTTTGTAGTAACTGTTTTCAATAAATAGGAAAAGGTATAAGTCATGACTGTAAGAACGTTAAAGAAAATTTATTAAAACTAGTCGAACAGCTTCCTGATAAAAATAAAGAACAAGTAGTCAGTTCCATTATATAAAGTAAATATAATTCCGCTACTGAAATGAATGAAAAGAGTGAAACTTTAACTTTAGCAACGAGTGGTCGCAAAAAAAAATTGATTGTCATAATAGTATAAGAAAACCATTATTCTTTATTGAAGAAAATTTGGATAATTTTCGAGTTAAACTGGGAGATCACATAATGACATGAGAAAAATTACAAACATTTTAAGGTGTAATTTAGGTAGAAAATCAGTCCCTAAAAATTATAATCAGCGTATGACGCAGAAATCGAAAGCATTGAAAGATCATTTATCAAAAAAATTTTTAACCAAGGGAGATAGTGCCACAGAGCCTATACTTCTACCTTTGGATTCCAATCAAAAATTCTAATCTTTAGGCGAGAAGCACCATGGGTCCTAGCAATACGTAGTAGTACCCGGGTTTTCCTAACAAAATTAATACCTGGAGCCTATCAAAAGTAGTCTCCAGATAATAAAAGAAAAGATAAAGAAAAGGAAGTTCGAGCTATTTCTTAAATAAAGGAAAGAAAGATGAAAAAAGAAATAAAAAATTATTTTGTTTGTTTACTGTTTTTTTTTATTGTGAAATTGTGAGTTTGAACTGGTTGATTTCTCCTTGTCTGCTTAATGTTTTTTTTCTTCTTTGTTGCTTGGCTGCTTGACTTTCTTAATCTGCTCCTCACTGGTAGCACGAGTAAAATTTTCCTCTTCGTGTGATTTTTTTCTCGACTGCCCCTCGGGTCTCGTACAGCTCTTTTTATATACTGGGGTGGCTGGGTGGTAAGTCCCTCTCTGAGCTTCTTAGTTTCGGGAGGAGTGGAGCAGGCAATGATGCGTTAATTGGCTCGTTTGTCTCTTATGATTTTCCTCGCTAGGTTTTTGGGCCCTGATTGGAGGGGTGCGTGGAGAAAATCGGGGACACGGACGTAAAGGTACAGGCCTTAGCTCGCGAGATGGCTCCTCGAGTACCGTTCCAAGATTTATTCAATAAGCAGGCTTACGAGGGTGATCCGATAAGTACTTAGCCTACAAAAGAAAAACGAAAATTTTGGAAAAGTGGCATTTTATTTTTCAACATAGTCTCCTTTTAGTTCGATACACTTGGCCCAGCGATGCTCCAACTTCTTTAACCCGTCTGAAAAATACGTTTCCTCGAGGTCTGAAAAGTAGGCTTCCATGGCAGCGATTACCCATCGCGCCGACAGCTTTCTCATGCCCGAAATTTCATGCAGGACATGACTCACGCGGTCTTTTGAGATGCCTACGATCTTAGCTATCTCACGCAGCTTCAATCGTCGATCTGCCAATACGAGATCGTGAGTTTTTGTCACGTTATCCTCCGTGGTAGCCGTTTTCGGAGCACCTTGACGTGGCTCTTCAAAAATCGACGTGCGACCACGTTGAAACTCGTTAAACCAATTTTTGACGGTCGCCATCGAAGGAGAAGAGTCACCTTACACAGCATCCAAGCGCTTTTTGATTTCGCTGCGCGATTTCCCTTCCAAAAACAAGAATCAAATTACCGACCGATACTGCTCTTTTTCCATTTTTCGAAAATCAACGGACACACTTGCTTTCACACACTCTCAAAAATAAACTACAACTCCGATCCGGCTGAAATCTTAACAGTAACCATCGAGAAGGTTGTACTACGTGATAGAATATTTCTTTTGCGAGAGTGGCGCCATCGGGCGGTGAGGCTAAGTACTTATCGGACCACCCTCGTACAATAACTTAAAAATTATTTTTGTACAAACTCGATAACTTACAAGTTACTTAATACTAGGGACGATATCGTAGGTTTTTTCGCAATTACAGTTGGCTATAATTTGTATTGAGATAAGTATTACAAATAATTATAAGTATATAATTTGTATTGAAATAGAAAATAAAGTGTAACTGTTGAATATGAGGTGGATCGTTGAAATAATAACAGTGTTGAGATTCCCCTCATTACAACAATAATAATGACATGATTATTTAATGTTAAAAGTCAATGATTGAGTTGATACATATAGATTACATACATGTATCCAAGCCATGTCGAGATGCGCTCTCTTGTCTCTTACATAGCCGACTGACTATCATATACTCTGTACATGTGCGCACGCACTCACACATCCTCACATACATACTGATAGCGGCGCGCGCATCATCACTCATGGATATATCTATATTACATTTGTATGTGTGTACAGTATAGTTATTACGTATAATTCAACAGTAACTTATTATATCGCACGCTGTATTGTACAGATTCATGGGTGGTTTATTAAATTATTTACTAATCATGCAATTCTATTTATTTAAAGTTTTTAATCGGAGAATTAATACAAAAAAAACTTATGTAACTTAACAAGGTGTTACGTGACGTCTTATTATGTTACAAAAATATACTATCGAATAAAACCTTGCTCTCGGGATTTTTCGTTCGGACATAGCATAGCTAGCAGTATTCGTGTGCGCGACTCGGTGGGAATGAACGATAGAGGCTGATTCACGCTGAGCCGGCATGCTGGGACAGCACGCTGCAGTCAGCGTGCTTAGCTAGATAAGACGACCCGCCACGAGAAGCGTAAACATCCGAAGCGTATACGCGAGAGTGAGTCGGTATGCTCGGGACAAAGGCTATAAAATAAACCAGCGAAAGCAGAGCGACAGAATTTAGTTAGTCAGGAGTCAGCGCTCGACTAAGAAGCCTGTATTTTTCCTACTGAAGTTACATCCATAATAAGAGTGTGAAAATATAATTGTTCGAGTTACAATTAAGTATTAGAAGTGTCGAGTACAATTGTTTTAATAATTTTGTGTAAACGAAAATCATAGGAATTATCATTTTTCTGGTGTTTTGCCACACTATTAGATAAAAAGATATATTGGACCAGTTAATTAAACGGATTCGAAAGCAGTAATTACGGATATAACGAACCAAAGAATATTTCGTACCTAGACAACAGAGTGAGTACTTTTGGGCTCTATTCTCGATAAGGTGAAATCTCTTCCTTATTGTATTTTATTATCTCTCTCTCTCTTCGCTCTAATACTACTTAGCATATTCAAGGTTCCCCTTTTGGTGAATCCGCGTGATTGCGTACCGGGACCAAGTGTGTAAGCGCCACTGACCGCGCAATTTAGAACATTTATTTAATAAATCGCGAACCAGATAGTAGGCCAATATTATTACTAGACGTGTTATCTCACGTATCGAAAAAATATATAAATCTATCCAACGTACCCGTGTAAGTTCATTTAAGTAAACCGGCGAAGCCCCCTCCCTTTTTCCTTGCCAATTACTCCCGCCTACCCCTCGCGGGGACGAACTTCAGATATTATCGGCAAAGACGCGATCCATTCGCTGAGACGGTCGGGGTACCGTACTGAAGGTGTAGTCCGCCCGAGTAAGGACCACTCGGAGCTAAAAACGGTCTAACACGTGCCCGTTTTGAAGAGACATCAAAACTGTCACGTAACAAATGGTAGCAGAGCGTGGTTAGTGCCTTCGATTAGTTGCCGTTGAATAACCATATAAATTTATTTGTATATTGGGTAGCACGAGTACTAATGTAACAAGTATTAATACTCTATACTATTAGAATATATGTATTATCGATTAGTGTGTAATATATAGTATTACATAGTGTTAATATATTGACGCGTATTAATTAATATTAATACATATTAATTAATCCGCCGTCTTTTTCATCGCTATTAATATTAATATTAATATTAATTTTTTTTTTCTCTTTCTTTCCTCTCTCTCTCATTTTTTTTTTGTAACGCGATACGGGTAATAGGACGCTCGTTTTTGAGCGAGCTAAAGCCACGCCGGAGACGTGGGAAAATTTTTTTTTTCTTTCTTCTTACACGATCGGGCGCTCAGGAATTCATCGGAGCTTCGTTTTCGATCGCGTAAGCGTAATCAGAGTGTTCCGGTCTGAAACCGGGTGAGCCTCTCTTACCGTTCCCACATTTCGTGATTAGTTTACGGAATAGGAAGGACGTGATCCTTCGCTTACTAATGCTTGAAAGTCAAAACGTGGCTTAGAAGAACTCCCTTGAGTTACAAACGATCGTTTATAATTTTCACATGCGCGTCTGCGAAATATTCTATTCCTTTTATCCTGTTGTAATAGGGGACTGACCTTTGGCATTAAAATTTACCTTAATTATTTTTTTTTTATGATTACCTTTGCTACTAAAAGTATTTATTACCATTAGAATAATATATTTATTAGGAATAATACTTTATTAATATAATTTATTTAACGACTAATGGAATAATGTTAATTAATTATTAAACCGGAAACTTATAAATATATATATATGGATTTGTTACTGATCAAGGATAATAATTGGTGATTGTTGTTCGAATGAATCATTAATCATTAATTATAATTAATCAATAATCATAATTGGTACTTTGTTAATGCGAAAATTATTTGAATAAATTATAATCATTGTATTATCAGCTTTATCCATCTATTACTGTTTGATTAATAAAATAAAAAAAAATATAAATAAATAATAAATAATAAAAATAAAGGAAAAATTAAAGAAATATTACAACAATAAAATAAAAGAAGAAAAATATAGGATCTAGGACCATAACGAAATGGAGTCGGCGACCCTCCAGTTATTGACTAATATGTCAGCAAGTTTTACTTTGCAAAGTATTGTGCAAGGAATCACGGAATTCGACGGGAAAAATGTTCCCCTAAAAGACTTTATTCAGGACATCCGTAACGGAAAGGCGCTTATAGCTGATACACAAGAAGCAAATTTTATTCGCTTGATCATAGCGAAATTAAAGGGACCAGCAAGAGATTGCATTTACGGTAAAACCGTAAATACAGCCGAGGGACTAGTTAAAATACTTAAGGCGCGATTTGCCCCGTGTAAGGACTTCTCTTATTATGATTCAAAGATTCATAATTTGCGAATGAAAAATGGGGACACGGTCGGTGATTTTCACGACCGTATCAATATCCTATTAAACTGCGCACTGAACGCGCTGAAAGAAGAAGTTGGAACTGATTATAGTGATGTCATGATGACCCCGATAAAGAATTCCACACTTAAAACCTTCATTGACGGGCTGCCGAAAGAAATCGGGGACTTAGTCGATATTAAGCAGCCGAAGTCTCTTGAGGAGGCTTACAAGGAAGCCCTTCGCATAGAGACTAGAAATAAGAACAAGCCAAAAAATGAGGACCTTAGTATGAGTAAGTGGCTGTCGATTAACCGTGGTTTTAATGTTGGGTATATTCAGGATCAGCAAGTTGAAGCTGAGGAACCATACTACGAAGAATGGGAAGAGGTACCCGCGGAAGTGCAACAATTTTTTATCCAACGACAGAACGGACGATTTTATCAGAATAATCAACGACAACAATACCAGAATCAGAACCAGGAAAGCCAGGTTCGACAACAGGAAAATCAGTCCCAGGGGCAGAGGCAGTTTATGTTTAGAAATTGGAGGGGACGCCAGCGGAATAAAAATTTTCAAGATAACGGCAGTCACCCAGGACGATTGTACAATCCTGATACGGATATGTATCAAAATCCTACGGGACGAAGATACGGGGCAATTGCCTACGACTAACAACAGAGATTCAATGAGTTGAGACCGAACCGACCGTATCAACACTTTGGAGGAAATCCTGGTAATTTGAACTCCGATGGGGCTCGCCCTGGAGTGACTGCAGCGGGCCCATCTCAGACATCCCCGGCTCAGAATTATCGGCAGCAACAGGCGAAAACTCTGATAACGGAAGTTCGACAGACGCCGGAAGCGGAGAAGCCGGGAGTACCGCCAGCGAAAGTGATGACAATACTGAAAAATTCGGAGACGTTACTTCCGAGTCAGTCGTCGCAGTTGCCGCAGATCGGGGACCTAGCGCAAGAGATAATAAAATCCATGCGCCTACGAGAGTAAGATTTCGAATACCCGAGACCGATAAACGGTGGACCGTATTTATGGTCGATAATGGATCGGCTGTAAATCTTATAAAATTTAATGCTTTACATTGGACTACGAGGTTCGACCCGAGAGAGTCGACTACGCTGAGCGGGATAACTGCACACACTGTTCCGACTCTTGGCACTGTATTGCTAACAATAAATGGCAAGCCTGCTAAATTTCATATAGTGTGGAATAATTTCCCTATTGAAGAAGATGGCATGCTAGGAAGGGACTATTTAATAGACACAAGTGCAGTTATATCGTATTATAATGGAACCCTAATGGTAAACAGTGATTTAATGAATCCGATACCATTTCTACCTACTAATGTGCCTATGGAGCACTTACAAGACAATCTTATCAAAGCTATGCGCATAGTACCGAAAGACAATGAAATATCAGAACTTGAAACCGATTCGGACCTGGATTATGCGATAGAGCAACTTGCAAACGAAGGGATTAGTAACTCTAAGCCCGGACGAGTGAGGAACGAGGTCAATCACGGTACGGTCAGATACACAATAGGACCAAGATCTCGTCAAATTATTCAAATTAACTTGATCGAAACCGAGTTGACAGAAGGCTACCTGCCCAGGATTGACGTGAAGGACGAAAAGGTATTTCTTGGAGAGGGAGTAGTCGCAAATGCAAATAATACCTGTAAAATCATGGCAATTAATACACACGATGACGAGGAAGTTACCATTGAAGTGGACCCGAGAGAAATTTTGCCATTCGAGCAGTTTAAATCGCAGTTTTCCAGCTCTGACGGCGAAGGTGTTTCGGAATCTAAAGTAGCCAGGCAGGTCAATGACCAATATAAGAAGAGGGGAGAGAACCTCTTACAATTGATTAGGACCGGACATCTTAGTCCAAGCGAGCTCCAAAGCGTTCAGCGACTACTAAAAAGGTACCCACACGTATTCCTACTACCCGGAGAACCATTGCCCTGCACGGACTTAATAGAACACGAAATTCATCTTGAAAATAGAATTCCCGTAAATACCAAACAGTATAGGCACCCTCCTGTTCATTGACAATTTATTTCTCAAACGTTAAGAAAACGATTGGAAGACGGAATAATAGAGGAATCGAATTCACCATATAACTCGCCACTTTGGATAGTACCTAAAAGCCCGGCAAGTGATGGAACCCCGAGGTGGAGAATGGTCATCGATTTCCGAGAACTGAATAAAAAAACTGTCGGTGACGCTTACCCTTTACCGAATATAGGGGATATATTAGATCAACTAGAGGGATCCCTTTATTTTTCAACATTTGACCTTGCGAATGGATTTCAACAAATACCCTTAAGAAAAGAAGACAGGCCCAAGACAGCATTTTCGTCGTTTGATGGGCACTTCCAATATAAAAGGATGCCGGAAGGATTAATGAACGCGCCGGCAACATTCCAGAGAATGATGAATGTATTGCTGCGCGGGCTGCTAAATGTAGAGATGCTAGTGTACCTAGACGACGTAATAGTTTATGCTAAGAACCTTCATGAACACGAAGTGAAGGTCGGTAAACTTTTTGAGAGACTATCGGATGCGGGACTAGTCCTACAGCCCGACAAGGTGAATTTCCTTTGTAGGGAAGTAAAATTCCTTGTGCATATTGTAAGTGCTCGAGGAGTCGAGCCAGACTCTAAACTAGTCGAAGCTGTAATGAAGTTCCCAAGGCCAAAGGGAGTGAGAAGTGTTAGGTCTTTTCTAGGACTGTCCGGATACTATAGGCGATTTATTCAGGATTATTCGAAAATTGCCAAACCCCTCAGTGATCTTACCAAAAAGGGACAAGAATATGATTGGGGACCTGCACAGGAAGAAGCCTTTGAAAGGCTTAAAAAGCTCCTATGTGTAGCTCCGATCCTAACATTTCCGGACTTCAATAAACCATTTACGCTAACTACAGATGCCTCACATTATGCGATTGGAGCGGTACTTTCACAAGAAGAAGATGGAGTCGATAGGCCTGTAGCTTATTTGTCGAGACTGCTAAGTAAACCCGAAAGGAATTATACGACCACTGAGAAAGAGTGTATCTCAGTTTTATACGCGATGAATCAGTTCCGGCCATATCTCTTATGCAACAAATTCACGCTAGTCTGTGACCATGAACCTTTGAACTATATGCATACGCGCAAGGACCCTGGACAACGCCTTATGAGATGGATGTTCAAGTTCACGGATTACCAATACACCTTTAAGTATAAGGCGGGAAAATTGAATTGTAATGCCGATGCACTGTCAAGGAACACGGTAAATTTACAAGAATACTTGGATGAAAAGAAACAAAAAGAGAAAGAACTGAATGAAAACATACCGAAAATTCAAGTAATGATGCTGAGAAATAAAGTGAGTAAAAGGAAAGTCACTAAAGAACAGACCGAAGAAGATCCAGAACAACCGATAGCGATACGAAGAAGAGCGCACACCATATCCAGCGAGCCTAGACCAAAAGGCAGGCCAGTAGGGGCCAAAACGAATAAAGGAAGACCGCAGCTGGATCATAGCACCGTAGCAGAAAGAACCAGAAGTAAAAGGCCTGTGCCTACGACCTCGAAAGATACTAAGAATGCTCGCCCAAATGCTATCGATACTGAAATACACGAGAAAACCTGGGCGCCAGCCGATAAAGAAAAGATGCGATCGAAAGGAGTCCAAGAGCTAAAGAATTACGAAGCGGAACAACAGAGAAAACAACTGACCAACCAAAACTATGAGTCCGTGGCAAATACTTCCGAAATAGAAATAGTTGTAAACGAAAATGCGAATGAGGACGAGAAACGAAAGTCGGCCCGTCCTAAATTACATTGGCGCGTGCAAGAAATTTTAAATCGATTGGACCGAGAGAGTCAAAGCTCGATTATGTCGGACTCTGAGGCGGATATGAGCAAACGACGGCCCAGTTCCTCGAGACGTTCTGTGATATCCTCTACTGGTGTAGAGGATGGGGACGCGAAAGAAGCTCATGACAGTACAGACAACCGGCCTCCCATAGAGGAC